TGCTGCGGGAATGACCGGCCCTTCGGCCTCTCCTGTGAGACGTCCCTCCTAGTCTGCTTCGACGAGGTGGTCGCGTCACTGTGCTTACGCTGGTGCCTGTGCCCGCTGCCTGGGATGCTGCCAAAGTTAAACCCGAGTCTCCACAGCGGGGTCTTGCTGCCGTTCATGTGACTCGGCAGACAGGCACTGTGACCCGCAGAGGCATACTACCTGTAGATAGTGGACAAGCTACTTTTTCTCCATGTTCGTGTGGCCAGTCTAATGTTTCTAGTGGCCAACACATATGTCACCTTCTACACAATAATCAGTTACAATGCAGAAGACAACGAAGGCTAAGAACAAGTGATGACCAAGACCAAAAGTTGTGATGAGGCTCATCGGCGATATCTGGTCCTCTTCGACTGATGTCGGCTCTGTCTGGCACGTCTCCTGTGCATGTGCCAAGCAAAGTGCTGTTGGAGACTCCTCTGGCTCGCATAATCGGTGACATTGACGGGGATAGAATATAAGCATGGTCCGATGGACTAGTGGCGAGCATCTTGCAGCCATTGCATGTGGCATTGCTTAAAATTGTTGGTGTGGAAAGGAGACTCGGGTCATCAGCTGAGGCCTTGACTGCTTTTGCAGTGCTTGCTCGTGATGGTGACTTTTTATTGCCGAATTTGTTCTGACTTCCGAATTCTTTCAAGTTGACAAAAGATTCAACAGTCGAAGGGCCGCCTGCAGATAAGTACCAAGTTATTGGTCTTGTTTTTTAAGCATGCTAGCAGTTACCGACTCGCACATCTAACTGCTGCCTCATGGATGGTTGGATGAGCTAGCAGTTTAACCGGAATAACCCACTCTAAAGTCGCATCTTAATATTAGTTCCTTTATTCCAGACAGTCCTTCGATTAAGGTCTGCTTCATGGTGTTGTACCTCTGATTCCCCTCAGAATTAATTATTCTTCAAAGAAAACTGCATGGAGATTGAGAACTGCTTGAGAAGTTTGTGTCAGACAAGAACAATGGCAATTAACATTTCCCACTTGTTTGGCAAAAAAATCAGAAAATTTGTAGGGCCTTTCCACTTCACGTGAAGATGGAGGACCAGCGAAGCTGTTGTCTTTACGACGTCTAGGACGATGCCTAGGACAACCTCTCGGGCGACCTCAAGGACGACTTTTAGGACGGCCTCATGGACGACGCCTAGAGGACGAGCTCTCGGACGACTCCTAGGACGACCTCGAGGACGACTTCTAGGATGACCTCGAGGACGACTTCTAGGACGACCTCGAGGACAAAGTCTAAGAAGACGCCTAGGACGACCTTGAGGACGACCTTGAGGACGATGCTTAGAGATTATAACAAGGGATCAGGACCTCACCATGTAATCGTTCTGGAGTGCGGCATGGTTAGTGCCGCACTCTAGAACGAATTACGGAAATCAGATGTTGAAATATATAGTACCTCGTTTTTTAAATGCCTGAGTGAGTTGAATGTAGAACTTTTGAATGAAACCATAAAAAATGTATGTTCCATGTTTGTGAGAGAGTGCCCCTGGAATTTGTAAACTTGGCTAAATCGATTACTTTTCCCCCTTCCCCCCTCCCCCATCTAATGTTGTTTATTTTTGTGCTATAAGTGGGATGGTGAAAAAAACATTATGTGTATGTCCATGGTGGTCCTCTTTCGCTGCTGTGGGGAGGCAGAGGCTCGTCCAGCAACAACTGAGTTGCTTTTTTCTCTGTCTCCCCTCTCCAAACGGAGAGAAATAAAGAGTTTGAGTTTGAGTAATAGTGCCAAGGAAGGCTGACTCACGCTGGTTGCCCCCTCTTTTTTTTTTTTTTTTTTTTTTATTTATTCATAGGTGACCCCTTTTTTTGTTTTGATTTATTCATACTTGCCATGACCAATGGGGAGTTTTCTGTCGACATGTGAGGACGCATTTTTTCCCAGACCCTAGCATATAACAGCTTCGCTGTAAAAAAATTCATAGGCTCGCCATACTTGCTATTTAGACATGCAAGTCACCCCACGAGTGTTTGAGGTATCGCAACTCCAACGCTCTATAGATGGCAGGGCGGTAGTCGCAAGATGGCGGAAGAGAGAGGGATAGATTTTCCAGGATTTCCCGTGCGCCTGCTTGACGACGCTGGTCAGAGTGTTAAAATTAATTTATTTGGCTACAAATATGAAGCGGTCTGGGCAGGACCATATTACAGGTGACGGAAATGTTGACCTCCATTAAAAAGAGCAACATGTTGATTTTTAAATGTTGCGGTGCAGAACAAAACAATTCCTACTTTAACGCACTCGCTTTTTCTGTTAAAAACTGGATGATGCACGAACACGCCGACCAGAATCGTGCGGTAGCAGCAGCACCAAGGCCGACAATCCCTGCCACCACCTCCGCCGCCGTCCCCACTTCTCATGGTTCTTTGTTCCTCCGCAAGAGGTTGAGTGACGTGCTGGAGTTGCGAGAGAAAAGGGCCTCTTCATTAGCTGCAGAAAATTCAGTCGACTTGTATGTAAATGATGTCTATGTTGCACACACTGTGACACCTGCCTTCTGTAGTCTACCGGAAACCCGGAGACAAGCTCACCGGAGAGAAAGCTCGCCCACTTTTGTGCAGGTCCGGAGAAAAACTCGGACATGGAGAAAAGCTCACCTTGAACAAAATTATTATACAAGGTGGCTCGTATTAATTCAATGTTCATTTGATGAAGTAAAAAATTTTCTATATTGTAGGATCGGATAGAACATTTTAGAATGAGAAAGCTATATGTCCCACGCAGATATTTCAAAGCTATGCTTCAGCTCTCGTTTCGCTTTCATGTCGTGTGTTTTTCCTCCGACACTTGCCATATTTATATCTGACGTAGCCTGAATGCAGGAAATGTCAACTTTCTTTTTCTGCCAATCGAAACAGCTTAGAATTAAAAGCGTATACCTTAAATAAATGGTGAAATATAGTTATATTTTTCTAGGCTATCCTCTATTTACCGTTCTATAAGAATATTTTATTTATTTTCGTCGTGCAACCCAAGAGGTGTATCGTATTCATGAACAAATATTCCTCTGCTGGTAAAGAGCAGAAATTCATGCACACGGCATACAAACAATACTTCAATTGTCTGAATGTATTTCAGTTGAGTGAAGACTCGATCCACAGGTTCGTAGGTGAGCTTTTCTCTACATCCGTAAAAGGGTCGGTGAATTTTTTCTCCCATGTGACGGTAATGTGATGAGCTTTTCTTCGGTGAACATACTCCGGTGAGCCTTTCTCTGTCGCCCAGTCTACAGCACGCCGAGATTTTATGTTTACTTTGTGTCGGAGCTCACGCCTGCCAGATTTGTAGAACTTCTGAGATGAATTTTTGGATGATATTCAGATTCCAGCTACACTGCAAGGGATTATTTTATTCTTGACTTCGGAGCTTCAAACCAAGCTTCTCGGTTGAGAAAAAAAAAATGTTTAGAAGCCATTCAAGCACACCTGGCAAGCTCATCATTTTTGTGACTGAGCAGGCCAAAACCCTTGTGTTATCACCGACTATTATGTATCAATATAATTTTGAGTTAACTTCAAACAAAATAACAATATTGCTTGAAAAAAAAAATGTTCAACGTGCAGGCGAGGTGGTGCGTAACTGGCGCCATAGAGCTCCACGTATTCGAGAGCTCCGTCGGCCGCCATTTTCATATTAAATATTTCAGAAAATCACGTAACTTTTTAGTAAGATAACTGCTAGTGCTGAAACTTTGGCATCTGGTGTAATGTGGCTAGGAGTTTGATACTCTTTTTCCAGTTTGCGCTTTGGGTTTGACCGAAAACACCGTTAAGTCAGACGAACTCGCTGGTTACGCGCGTATCCTACTGTCAGACATTATGGCTAGTTTTATGTAGGGTGCCTCAATGCCCTTCTGTTTAGGGTGATGCCACCCTTTGTAGTACCCAATGCCGACAGCACGCGCTCACGGGTAAAATACAAAGAAATCGACGAAAACAAAATGTCGCCATAGCACAGTCAGTGCCACAAACCCATAGAGATCATATACTAAATCTAGAGGAAAAGGTCCGCCATTTTCCCATACATTCTAGCTGCCGCAAGCGGCGGACCATGCAGGCAGACCCTCTGGGTCCCAAACACGGTTACATCATCAGAGCAGTTTCGTGAACTTCAACAATCCACGAACTTACCGGTGGAAAAATACTCGCGTTCCTTTCGAAGGTTTCTTTTTGCATAGCGCGCAGATGTACGGCCTCGCGTTAACGCTAAACTAAACCATATACCCGGCTTCGCTGGTGGGGCGCGGCTGGGCGCGGTTGAGGAATACGAAACTGCGCAACCACCAGATTTCCGAGATTTCGACAGAAGGGAAGTTAATGCAGCGTAATGACTTTATTGCTTTTTATAAGCGTTAGAATAGCTCAGAATTTAGTTTACAACGTTAAATTATCACTGTTTATATTGCTGAGAGTTTACACTCTTCGCGTTTACCGCGTTTACCATGGCAACGTTGCTTTCTTTCTCTCGTGTTCTGTCACTCTCTTTCGCGATCGTTCACTCGGGACCCAGGATGTCGGCGCACGGGATTTGCCACTCCTCCTCACCCACCTTTACCCCCCTGCACAAACCCGTGCAGGGACACGCTCTTTCACGCGCTTCTGAAGAAAAAATAGAAATAAAAGTGTGGGACAAAATGGCCAGATTTCTCCACCCTAAGCAAAGTAAACATGAAGGCGCCCTTGTTCTATGGTATTTACATACATACTACTGTTCGAATTCTTACATCATTTGACGAGCAGTCGTCTGCTTCCACCACAATCGACCGCTAGAGAGCGGCCAAGAGAAGTCAATTTGTCCGTGCTCGTGCAAGTCACTTTTTTTTAAAATGTATTTTATCGTAAATTACAAATTATTATATATTTATTTTCGGAAAATATTAACCAATTTTAACTCATTACTTTCTTTTTTTTACTTTATCTGTGCTCCTGTGCTTTCTATCCGCGTTACTAGGTGGTGTGGCGAGCGCGTTGCTTCGAACACCAGAGCATGGCACAGCGGCATAACCATAACAACCTGTAAGAAGGGCATACGATCTGCAACGCTGGTGGGGGCATCCTCGTCGCACCACCGTGCTGCGAGTGACAGTCTGAACGTTTTTAATTTGCCATGTGAATCGCGTTCCCCTTGGACATCGTGTCCATGCCCTCGAACCCTATGACTCAACTCGGGAACTGACGTAGGTCATTTTTCTCTGCTTTTATCCTTCGACCAAACTTCGACGCCCAAATTATCGCATCGCGCCAGTCCGAGGCCGTTAAGCCTAACGGCGGGTTCTAAGCTCCCGCCTTGTCCGGAGTTCCTAAACCGACGCTACCTCATCCTACGCGGCGTCACTTCTACAGGCGACGATCATACTAGCCAAGATGCAAGAAGTGCAACGCGAACCCCGCTTCAGTCCGGTTTCCGCAGGATTCGGCGCATCTCGCGGAGACCTGGCTGGCCTGTCGTGCTCGCGCTGCCGCGGGAGCCGCGTGAACGTCAGCGTTTTGCCCTGTTTTCACACATTCTGCCCCAAGTGCCTGGACGAGGTTTCCGACAAGGGGGACCCGCTGGGCCATTGCAAGTGCCCCGTCTGCGAAGACGGCTTGGACAGCTACGCCTTTTCGCAGTCCATCATCATTAGTAACATTTTGAACGTCGTCAAAGAAGACTACGAGACCGGCACCGCGGTTCCTGTGGCGGCCAATCCTGTCTTGGACTATGGGCCGTGCAGCGGCTGCGACGAGCACATCCGCGCCGCGGGCCGCTGCAGGGACTGCAACGAGATGTTATGCGAGAACTGCGTGTGGGCGCATCAGCGCGTACGTCTCACCAAAGAACACACCATCATTCACTTCGAAGAAGAGAGCCAGGGACAGCAAGGCGCCGCGCACAAAGCCCCAGCCGGCCCGCCAACGTACTGCTGCGAGAAGCACGACCGGGAAGTGCTTCGCCTGTACTGCGAGACGTGCAGCCAGGCCCTGTGCCGCGAGTGCACCATGAAGGAGCACTTGGGCCACAGCTTCGTGTACCTGCAGGACGCCGTGAAGGCTGCGCGCACAGCCGCGCCGGCCACGCTGGCCGACGTGCGGGCGCTCGCCGACGCCCTTGAGGAAGGCGTCGAGCGATCGCGCCTCATGTCCGAGCGCCTGCGGCTGCGCACCCAGAGCGTAGCCGCCGAGGTGCGCACCACTGTCGGCCGTCACCGGGTGGCCCTGAACCAGCGCGAGCGAGAGCTGATGCAGCGGCTCGAGCAGATGCACCAGGCCAAGGAGCAGGCGCTGCAGCGGCAACGCGACCGCCTGGCCGCCGTGCTGGAGCAACTGGCGAGCTCAGCCCACGCCCTACAGCACGCACACGGGGACCTGGAGCTGCTGCGAGCCCGCACCGAGGCCCTGGCCAGGCTGCGTGACGCCCGGGAGGCCCCCACGGAGCCGGCTGAGGACGACCACCTCGATTTCACGGCGCCCGACGGAGCGCTGCTGGCCGCCATCGTGACCCTGGGCTTCCTCTCCACGGCGGGCTTCGGGCCCAACTCGAGCGCGGCGGGTGAGGCCCTGACCAGCGCGGTGCGGGGCCGGCCGGCCTCCTTCACGGTCCAGGCCTGCGACCACCTGGGCGAGCCGCGGCTCGTAGGTGGGGACCCGCTGCTCGTGACTGTCCGCGGGCCCGACGGGTCGGCCTGCCGCGCCGACGTGGTGGACCGCCACGACGGCACTTACCAGGTGGCCTACCAGCCGCAGCTCGAGGGCATGCACACGGTGCGGGTGCTCCTGCGAGGCACAGACATCCAGAAGAGCCCGTTTGCTGTGAGGGTGCGGGTGAGCCGCAACTACGGCGCCCTGGGCGAGCCCAGCCTGGTCTTCGGCACGGAGGGCAGCGGAGACGGCCAGCTGTGCCGACCCTGGGGCGTCTGCACAGATGCAGGGGGCCGCATCATTGTGGCCGATCGCAGCAACAACCGCATCCAGGTGTTCAACGCGGACGGCACCTTCCAGCTCAAGTTCGGCTGCCGCGGGGAGCTGCCGGGCCAGTTCGACCGGCCTGCCGGCGTGGCCTGGGACTGCGGCCGTGGCGGACGCATCGTGGTAGCAGACAAAGACAACCACCGCATCCAGGTGTTTGATGGCATGGGTCACTTCCAGCTGTCCTTTGGCGAGTGGGGCAGCAAGAGCGGCCAGTTCAACTACCCCTGGGACGTGGCGGTCAACTCTGAGGGCCAGATCCTGGTCTCGGACACGCGCAACCACCGTGTCCAGTTGTTCCGCCCAGACGGCTCGTTCATCAACAAGTATGGCTTTGACGGGCCGCTCTGGAAGCAGTTCGACTCCCCACGAGGCGTGGCCTTCATCGGGGACGGCCACATGGTGGTGACAGACTTCAACAACCACCGGGTCCTGGTGATCCGGCCGGACTTCCAGTCGGCCAGCTACCTGGGCTTGGAGGGCAAGGATCCTGGGCTCTTCCAGCGGCCCCAAGGACTGGCCGTGGACCTCGAGGGCCACATCGTCGTGGCCGACTCCCGCAACCACCGCGTGCAGGTCTTCCGCCCGGATGGCAAGCTGCTGGCCTGGTTTGGCCAGCAGGGCAAGGAACGGGGCCAGCTGGAGCTCCCCTCAGGCATCTGCATCGCTCCCGATGGACGCATCGTCGTCGTCGACTTTGGCAACAACAGGGTGCAGGTTTTCTGAGCCTTTGGGCGTCTGGTTATGTCTTTGAGGCATCTTTCATTATTATTGCTTGTTTTCTTGCATGACATGAAAGTTGTTGTCTTTCTTTGCTTTGCAGCAAGACATACTTTCTGTTTTTATGGTTGTGTGGCAGGGGAGCACTACGCAAGTGGCTGTGCCTCTGAGTGAGAAAGTTCTGTACCCCAGCAGAACTCTTTTTGTGTGTGTATTTTTTATTTTTATTTTTTTTTACGAACCTTGCTGATCAAATTGAATGGACCACCCTTTTTGTCAAGTAACTGCGACTGCTAGAGTCTTCATTCAGAGGGGGCTGAATCTCCCGTGTTGGCCAACGGGGTCACTTTGCACATTTAAAATGCTCGCATAGGTCAAGTCTGCACCTCACAAGGTGGTTTGCAAGTGTTTTATTTATTTGTCTCGTTCCGAGTTCAGCTTGTAGCTACAGGTTTCTCCTACAGCTAGCTGTTCACCAAAGAATATGTCCCTGTTTGTGCTAGTGATATGACTTCCCGACTGCTCACAGCCTCCATTCCCTATAAGTACTTGTGCCATATAGGCAAGACTGCAGAGCAGCTAGATGCTTCAAAGTGCATTTTCAGCATCTGACACGTGCAATATATTGAGTCAGTAGAAATCTCAAAATGACAGCTCTATGTTTAACGAGGTTGTTTATCAAAGTCGAGAGGTATTTATGAACTGTGCGTAACTTTTCACTTTAGCCTGCTTCTGGTGTCTCTTCAGCCCTGAATGCTTTTTGGGAACCTGAAAAGAACTGGGAGCATGCTGTTTTTGTCACAATTATGCCCTCTGGGGTTTTCTGTCTGAAGGCATATTTTTTTTTATTTGGCAGTGACCAAGTCTCTCCATTCTACTGTAGTTGCCACAGTTAACTGTGGCGTTGGTACCTGCTTTTCGTCTCAACTTTATGGTATCCATGCGTGTATGTTCAATGCCACTGTTGTCATGCACATTTTATCTACTTAACAGTCTTTGAAAGGGGTATAAACATTCCGGGACTACCCATGGCATAACACTTGCCTACCTCACATTAACTCAAGTGTCCAGAGTGGCAGGTTTTTTGACAAGGCACTCTGACTCCCAATCCTGGCTACCCCAGCAAAAAAAAAAAAAATTGGTTCTCTACATTTTGGGGTTTTCTTAGATTGTGCAGCATTCCTAAAAGCACTTTTTCTTTTTTTGCAAGTGTGCTGTGCACTTGTATCACATTTTTCACTGTTACCAAAAAGTCTCATGTTTTTAATATGTTTGGAGAGTTCTGCCTCTTTGCAATATATAGTCCAGTTGTTTTAATTCATATATATATATATCTCTTTTAAACAGTTTGTTTTCTTGGGTAGGCAAGGACAAAGCAGAACATTCTTTTTTTGACGATTGTGTCCTGCCACAAATTACTTGCTCAGGGGGTTAGCAAGACCAGCAAGATTGTAAGCTTGCATTATAGTGCCATATTGAATTCTTGCTTTGCAGAAGGGGGGAAGCTGTTGTAGCCAAGCTCTGGATGTGGTGCACTGTGCAGCTTTCTTGCTTTTTAAATTGAAGTGACCTGTAAGAGTTCCTTTTATATTCAGGATTGTAGATGCGTGAATGTAAGCGTCTTGGATTGCTGCTTACTGTTGAACTCCTTTTTATTTTGGTACTCATAAAAAAAGTGTTCTGTGATAAGATTATGGGCATTTATGCAATTATGTTCTCATTCCTAGCTGTAGGGTCAAAGCAGTGCACCTTTTAGTTATAACTAGCCACTAAGATGTGTTCTGTTTGGTGTGGTGGAGTACAACACCTAGATTAGGACCACGCGCTGTTTTAAGTCTCCATTTGTGTTCCTTAAAGCATCTACTACAGCCTTGTGGCAAACAGCCTTCTATGAGATTACATATGGTCTGTGCCTCCAAAGGACTGAAGGTTTACATTCCATATATTCCTGAGGCCATACCTAGCCATATCTCGGTAATATGTTCCTGGTGATGTGGCAGCCTCGCAGGGGCATTGCTTTGCCATTGGCACTTAGGAAAGGGTTGTGTTTTAAAAAGCAGTGAGACGGATCCTCCTGAGGAATGGCATGTCTGCCAGATTGATTTTAAAGCTCTATTTTATAAGGAGTTCTTGTGATGCAAAATAAAGTTGCAAAGTTTTGTGAAGGGCATGTTTGTGTTTTATTTTGGTTTCTTGACCTTGGTTGCAGCCTGCTGGGACTTCTCCCATTACGTGATTCCTCTGTTGGTGGACATATGATTTGCTCTGTTCTGTAGCCAACACGAAACCTTGTTTAGTGATGTGGTTGACCATTTGCAACCAGTTTCTATTGGAGCACACATGGCAGTATGTGTTTTGACCAACTGTTGATTTGCAATTGCATTTCTTCCATCTGCTTGAGGAGTGTGGCTGTCTACACGTCGCATTCTTTGTCAGAAAAGTTTGGCACATATTTTTAGAGCATTCTGCATGGACTCAAAACTTGCATGATTTACTGCACAGTAAGGGCTCTTGTCCGTTGATTGCTTGTGCATGTTGCGATGCACGTGGTAATGGTCTATGGTTCCTGTACAAGCTGTGAATGCCGTGTGCCTGTGCTAAAATTATGCTCTCGATTTACATGTTCCTGATGCATCTACGAGATGCAAGCTCTTGCATAGTTCCTAGACATCTCTTAAATGTGGCATGTGGTGTAGTAGGTTGGGTTGCAAGCATGTGACCACGGTATTCAATGTTCTGCATTTCGTGAAGGGGGCCCAGAGCTTCTGGAGATATTTTTAATTTTGCAAGACAGTTGCATGCCGTCCAACGGCCGAAATACTTCTACCTCTTTCCGCGAGCGAGCAATGCTAGAAGCATTTCCACTGGCCACATGGCCCGTCCTGTCTACCTCTGGCTCGTGTGTGATTCTGTATAGCAAGGGCCATTTTGCCTGCGCATGGTGGAACAGTCTCTGCTATGTTTGAGGGCTTAAAGAATGGCAGGATGAGGAGAGCCTTTAGACCTAGAAATCGAAAAGGTGCAGTACTTGGGAGGAATAGCTGCAGTTAAATGGACAAAGTGTATTCTGTACTGACCAAACGAAACATTCCTTTCAGTTTTGAGGGACCTGTTGAGTTTTGGTACGATATTTACAAATGGTGGAGTTGCTTTTCGGTATTTCATTTGGACAGGTCTGTCTGGGTTGGCGTAGCAAGTACAGTGTTGTGTGCATAACTGTGTGAACTGGAATGACAAGCCTATTGCGTGAGGATTGGTGACTACTGAAAGCCTCCTGCCATTCTGATGCTCCGACCTGATGGTACACGACACTACTACTACTAAAGTTCCTCTAAGGTCGTCTTACGACTTCCAGAAACAGTTCCTAGGCTTTAAAAAGCACCCTACTCACTTTTTTAAAATGGATAAAGTTCCGATCGCACACATAACGGTGGCGACTCTTCCCCCGAAGGCTTTTACTACTACCCTCGTGGAGGCTTATTGCAGTTGCCGCTAAACCTGTTACGCTCACAGGGTGCAAAATCCTATCGGTTGAGCAATCACGACGTCACCTGATTGGGCTTGCTGCTTGATCAACCTTCAATGACTGCTTATTAGAGGGTGATACAGCCCAGGTGATTGAGCTCTGAGGGATTATCCCTGTTGATCCCCGTGGCTCGTGGCCGGATAATTGGGGACTTAGTCCCCCCTGCACTGTGAATATATAGCTCTCCTAAGAGAGATACCAGTGTTTCAAACTCGTGCCGTTTTTGTATGCGTAACGAACGTAACAGCGCTTACGTGGGTATGACCCAGCCGGGTATTTTTCTCTACTTGTGTACGGTACTACTAGCTACAACATATCTGTTCTGTGTGCGCGTTTCGTGACTCTTTGAGGACGAAACTTGCATTTCAAAGTTCCTTCTCGTCGGAGTTGTCCATTCGGTTTTCGGCGCTGTTCGAACGACCGGGCTTCTGAAAGCTCCTCTGACGGTGGAGGCGGTGGAAGCGTTCTTGCGAATGCCATTTGTCCTGTGTGGGCGGGCAGGTTCGGTGTAGAGTAAACTCTGTATTCGCTAAGGGGTCATGTTACTCTACCGGGTTCGAGCAAGAAAATGCAGTTTTTGTGGCCACATGAATAAATTACGCATTGCATAAAGCTGGAACCCTGTCAGAATGTGATGCTGGCGGTGGAGGTAGGTTGCGAATGTTTGGTAACGTGACGTTACCAGGATCAAGAGATAAAGGGAGATGACGGAATTTCTCCGAGTCGACGTCCATGTAAGCCTCACTTCGTCAAAATAGTGGACGCCTATGGCATTTATTTCAGTAAAACGAACTTGTCAGCTAGAAGGACAATAGTGTTTTATTCCTTATTGACAGGTTTATTTCACCGTAATAAATGCCATAGGCGACCGGAATATTATATCTTGACGAAATTGGGCTTACGCAGACGTTCAAGTCCCCAACCTTCCGCATCCTATCCTCACCGCTAGCGTCATATTCTGACGGGGTTTCAGCTTTCTGCAATGCGTAGTTTGTTAATGTCGGACCAGAAAACCAGGTTTCATTTTCTCGATCGAACCCAGTAGATCTGCGGCCTGCATTTTACAATCTATCCGCTCGCTAGCTGGCGACTCGAGACGAGTTTCGCTCGACACTGGGCAGTCCTCAGCCTGTTTTCGAGAGCTTGTTTGAGGCCGTGCGTTGGCTGACTCTCCCCACCCGATTAGTGCTTTTTGAAAGCGCCACACCTGTGTAGGATTCGTATAAACAGCACCCAGCGTAGTGTAGAAGAGGAATTATTGAGCGCCAAACTAGATGCGAATCACTGGAGTGACGTCTAGAGGCAAGAGTTCGGCCTGCGATAGCCTAGCTACGTCGAGTCTTAAAGCACAAAGTGCCGAGAAAGTTTAGTTTAGCAGAGGGGAGAGTAAAAGCGTCTGGAAGGGTGGGACACACGATGGCGGCTATTTTTTGATAAAAGAGCAAAGCTCGCGGTGAAGCCGTAGCGTCCAAGGTCGAAGATGAGCACTGCAATAATGTTCCTACTCCGCGGGCCGTCTCGCGTCTCAACTACCTCTTTTGCGCAGTGTGATTCTCGCGCGCAAACTCAGTCGTATCGGGTTTCTGAAACTCGAGTCGATTTACTCTAGTGTCTGTTCGTCTCTGCATGTTTCGACTTCGTGGATGGAGGTGTATCGGTGCGACCCAATGGCACCGAGAAGACAAGGCCTGCGCTCGACGTCATCATTGGTTGTTCCCCAAGCGGCAAACGAGCTCGGAGAGAGACGCAGCGCCGCACGTCTTAGGTGGCGCTTCTTCGGTCCACTATTGATGACGTATTAGGGGCAAACGTGCAGGCCTTGTTTTCAAAGGTGGTCTTGTTTGATCACTCTTGGTCCTCTCGCTGCTCCCCTTTGGGTGCGCCAGTGCGTTTGCCATTCGGAACTTATTGTCAGCGCAATACACCTATTTTGAAGTCATCGTTTCATTGACACGACATCGGATATGTGAATTTAAAACATTTTAATTTGCTCAAAAGAAAGAAAAAAAAAAAGGGGGGGGGGGGGGGGGGGTTGTGTTTGGATGAAGCTGCATAATTTGTTTTGCAACATCCAGACCCGCGGTTTCACAGTCGACGAAGTCTATGTATACATAACGTAGGTACGACGAAAACCCATCTGTATTGTGGTGTCTGGTGTAAGTGTTACGACTGTGTGATACCGTTAATTGTGCTTTGCGTGTTCGTCTAACTGTCAAAACAAAATAAAAAAAAAAAAATGTTTTTTTTTTTGTTTTTGTTTTTTTTTGTTTGGACGATTTAATCGCCGTTCCTCCTTGCGGCTGTGAGCGTGAATCTGTAGAGGTGCTCTTTTCTGCTCTGAAAAAGCCGAGTGTTTTGAAGAGCCGAACTTTCTCATTCTGGCTGTCAGATGGCCAAGCGTTTTCAGTTCATTTCGTCTTCTTTCTACCTACCGTAAATTCCGGCGCACAGCGCGCCCCTAGGGATCTCCTCGATGTTGCATAAAACCGCTGTTTTGTTACATATTTCCCCAAAGAGTCGAACCAGGCCCGGTCGACAGTCACCAAAACAGTTGTTCGTATAATTGAGCTAGGTCCCGCCGCTTGGTGTGACATTTATGATTCGTCATAAGCAGCCCCAAATGCCACAAAGACGTCGTCAAGGGGTTCGGATGACCCCGAAACGGGAAAAGAAGTTCTCAATGCAACGTCATAGGTTATGCGCCCGCATTAATTGCTATCACGCGCTATACTTTCTCCCTCTCTCTCTCTCTCTCTCTCTCTTTCAATTTATGTTATTTGCTCGAGTTTACGGAAATACGGTGGCTAACCCGTCTCTACGTTCCGAACTCTAAAACTGGGCTCTCGTAACCCTCGCAAATATCGCAGCAGCCTTAGAGGGTGGCCTTCGGAGCGCCAAAAATAAAAAAAAACGTCGAAAATACTAAACGAAAACAAAAGCAAAAAAAAAAAAGGCTTAAATCTTTTTTTTTTGTGTGTGTGTGTGTGTTTTTTTACAAACTGTATCTGATCGAAGTGAACGGGCCTCGGTGAGAATTACCCGCGCGCGCCGGGCGATAGCCGACAGATTCACCACAATCGGATCGATTTTAAAGTTCGAAATTTTGATTTTTCGACTTTGCGATTTCTCGCCTTTTGACCGGGACTGATCGTAGAGTACGGCGGTGTTGGCGTGTACGCTGTGAAACGTTGTCCACTGACAGCTGTCACCGGACTGAGTCCGGCATTCCTATAGAAAGAACGGCTGTGAATATCTCGTTTTTGGCCAGGCCCAAGAGCCCTCGACGTGTCCTGGCGGTAGGTTGTAGCAATTGTTCGTGCTCTTGTCATGAGTTGCCTGTGAAGTGTTTTGTATCGTCTCGTGTGTCGCGGTGACGTCTCGAACGACATGTATCAGCAAATGCTGGCTCGTTCTATCGGCGGTACAAACGACTGCCTCGGAAGAACTAAGTTCTATCATTAAATCGCGTTGACTGACAAGTTCCTAGGACCGAAGTCACAAAACTTCGCGAACGAGTGCCATTTCCGGAAAGATGCAAAGTGTCCATTCACTATTTCCAATCATGTTCCTACACCAGAGCGCTTGTTTGTTAACTCGCATCAAAGAAACAACAACAACAAAAAAAGTTGCTACTCGACG